GTACTGCTTGTTCTTGGTTGGTTTGGAATCAGGGTTTTTGGCCAACTCCCCTAGGTGAACTGCCAGTGGTCCACCAACCCGGTTATAGCCCCGGATATCGGCTTTTCGTCCTCCCACTTTGGTGGGAAAACACCTCCGCCGCGAGAAGGCAGTGAGTAGGGCTTCCTCAGCAGAGGCTGTTTGAGACGCTTGGTCGTATGGGGTATTTCGTGAGGTGCAAGGGCAGGGTTACCAGCCGCAACCCTAGACACCCACCCCCAACCATACTGAGGCCTTGGGAGGCAAAGGGAACGGCCGCAACACCCGGTATTCCCAGCCGGTCACCCATGCAAGTACTAACCGGGCCCGACGTTGCTTAACTTCGGTGATCAGACAAGAACCGGTGTTTCCAACGTGGTATGGTCGCGGCCAAATGTTGCCCAGTCGGAACACAGCACAAAATTGGGGAAACACAGCTGATAGTCTTAAGTTCAACTCTCAGTAACTGTCCGTCAGTCAACGAATCAGTATAAGAATTACAGGACAGCAGTGCTGGGAGATACAGTGTTTGATAAAAGTGCATAGTAATGGTTGTAGTAATAGTAATTATACGCACGGAATTCAGAACACCAAACACGCAATATGAAGCATAATCTTGCTTCTGTCAGCATTGTCTTGGATTGGCTGGCACCATCCACCAATGACGTGTATTCAGAAGCCATGCACGTGTCATTGACGTCAGCATTCAAATTTGATTGATCGCAAATGTCCTGAAACTGTAACGCGCCGCTCCAGAGTAGACGCCATCGTATAAGCCTGGATCACCACATGCATTCCCATCNCAGTCCGATTAGAACAAAAGCTATCTGAAAGACAAATGCTCCTATAAAGAATACTTTTGCGCTATGCACTATCCAGTGATAACTTTGTCTCGGTTCAGTTGTCGCGATGTGTGCTTTCTCACACACGAAACCAATCACGAATGAATTGTGCGAAACCCGGTTTGAGACGAAATATGTGGCCGGTTCATTTGGGCTTCCTGTTCTAACCTCCTGGCCACTCATTACTCCTGATCATACGGACACAACTAGAAGTAAAACCCAAATATCGTGGTCAGTGAAAGTCTGTCCGCGAGTCGGCCTCATATTGCATTAGCTCGAGTATTGGCTGATTAGGGCAGTGGTGGCCAAGTGGTTAGATTACCAAATTGTGACCCGGAAGTCCCGGGTTCGAATCACTCCACCGCCGCCCGTCTTCCCAGGCAGTCTTTGTATGGCCGCGGTCCATCCTTCCTGAATGTTGACTGTACATTTATATATTCAATAAATAGAAAAAAAAGGAAGTAAAAAGACACTGAGACATTTAGATTAGGTAGTTCATCTCGAATGAGTGGCTATGAACTGGAAGTTGAGAGGTGGAATTGTGAATAATGCAGACAAATTTCACTGGGATATGAAAAGGGTTTAAATTTTAAATACGTTATTCTGTTTGAATGTTGTAAAACATGTGGGTCTAATCGTTTTGACACAATTCGCCGAGTATTTTGTTTTCGTTGCTAATCGGAATAAACCAGATCGGTTCTGTTGGGAATCCAGCACGGCACTTTAATTTTATCCATTCGCATTGTGGCACACACATCTTTGGACCGGATTAGGGAACCAAGTTCATGTCCGAGTGATGCAATCTGAGGACTAACTTGCGAGCGTTCATCATCATATCACGGTATCACATATTTTGCTTATTTAACGATCTATTGAATTTGAGTCTCGTACTCTTGCGATAAAAGCGGTCTCTCGATCAAACTGCGTACCGAAAAAGCAAACTTTTGTATCAGGCCAAGTGTCTTAAATTTCGCCCAGGGTGTCGATTGCGATTAGGTATCTGCTTTATTCGGTAATTTTGTTTGTATATCTGTGTAGTTAACCGACATCGAACGTCAGACTGTGTGCCAAACAAATGATAGTATAATAATCTTTATCAAAAGAGAAAGTTCCATGATTTGCATATGGGCGGAATACGTCCAGGTTACGATGGCCAAGGCAAGTGAAGTCACAACCGGCGCCTTCGGCTAACCAAAATGTGACCTGCAAGTCAGCGAGGTGATTTGTGTGTGTGTGTGTGTGTGTGTGTGTGTGTGTGTGTGTGTGTGTGTGAAATCCATTGGGAGCCGGTGACCAGTTCATTGGGTCATACACCCTTTGGATGGAGTCAAACATCCAAGGTTCCCAATACATCACGATTTCTAATCGAGCAGGCGACCACTGCCACAACCGGGAAGGTGTGAGAGATTGTGGTTTGTACGCCTCTTCTTGGTTGGTTTAGAACTGCCAGTGGGGCACCGACCCGGTGATAGCCCCGGATACCAGCTATTCGTCCTCTCTTCCTTTGATGGAAAAACACCTCTGTCCCACGAGAAGGTACTGATTACGGCTTCCTCTATCGAGACTGTTTGAGACGCTTGGTCGTATAGGGATTTATCGGCCTTTCTTATCAGCACGTCATGTGTATCTGGAATAAGGAACTATAAAACATACTGATAGGAAAAGCCGGTAGATCGCACGTCATGCGTAACAATTTTGTAACATTTTTCAATTGGTTATTTGTTCAAAACCATTGTTTTTTTTGTTGTTGAGACACGCAAGTCGGATTTTCAACTTTCAACTTTCATCCAGCAGCCCTTCACCGTTCACTGATCACGCATCACAACACAACATACGGAAAAATCCTTTTTGGTGATGGTTCCTATCACTGGCCCTGAAATCGAGCACACTGGTTGGAAACTTTGGTCTCCTGGATGACTACAGTTTGCCATATCTTCAATCCACACTCATATTTGTGAGAGTCCTCACTACAAACCAAAACATCGATCTGAACATACAGATAAATCAGTCAGTCTACCCTTCCCCCTCGCTCTGATCTATTTGACAAAAAACCGCAACAACAAAAAATCAGATCTGGTAGCTGTAGTACAGCTCATCAATCAGCGTGTGACACATACAATTTTGATAATTGACAAAACACGTCTATTCTCAACCGCACAGACCGCGCGGACATCACGGACCGGTTATCAAGGTCAGACGGCACGGCAATCAATCCACCACGCAGTTGCTTGCGTA